TCTGATTTTAGAAAAGTACGCCTTTTGTCAATATTTTCGCGTACTACTACGAATATACTCTCTCTTTTTATGGAATATAATAATTATTAAATTAGAATGATTTAAAACAAAAAATCGTAAGCAATTCAAATGACGTCAATTATTTGATGTAAAAGTGTAATTAGTGAATATAGACGACGATATTGTCAATTTCGGTTTCTAGTCTATTTTTCTACGATGGAAAAAAGATTGTAAGAAAAAAAAAATTTATCTAATCCACTGGATGATTCTGTTAACTCCGATTAAGCACCGAACCTTTTACCCTAATTGTAATCCAGTATTAAAGCAAATATAATAGATAGGTACTCGTATATATAACGAGTCGTTAATACTTCTCAATAAGATAGAAGTGGTTCGCATTATTGATCAAATTCAATGGCAATACTCGCATCCCGTTAATGCATTTTCCATCGGTCGCGATCGTTAAACGATTAAGTATAATAAATTAACACCGATAAACTAACGATGATAGTTGGATCGAATTTTCGACTAATACAATTGCTACTTTTGATAATTCACCGAATCGGATATTTACATTGATAGAATCGTTGAAAGAAATATAAGAGAGGATAAATAAAGGAATATATTTAATGAATATTGTATTCTCAAATTTTCTTCTACTCTCATTTTATCATTTTCTGTTCGAAATCGTCAACGATTTATGCGCATAACTTGTTGGAAATATCGATGGTTTCGCATTAAAATAGAAGAGAACGAATTCCTCGCGAAAGCTTTTAATAGAAACATTTTCAGCGTTCGTGCTTCGTAACATCTACACAAAGAAAAGGAGGAGGAGGAGGAGGAGGAGGAGGAGGAGGAGGAGGAGGAAGAGGAAGGGAGATACATTAATGAGTACACAACGATTTATAGGTGCTTATCGTAGTGTATGATTCGAGCGTAAATCGTAACAAACGCTTTCAAAACTTGTAAAATGAATCACTATTTTTTCTTGTAAAATGAATAATTCGACAAATGAGTAAAGTGAAATGTGTCGATCGATCGATGCACCTAATACGTACTCGTATAAGAAAGACCTATAGAAGGAAAATGTTTTCGATAAAAAGAAAACTTTGTAAGAACGTGATCTGAAATTGAAATTAAAACGTATTCCATCTAAAAGTTAGCAATACTTATCGACAAGCTTTATTCGTCGATCAAAAATTTCTATTTCTTGCTATTTCAAGAGAATCATCTTCTCCAGCATCTCGTTTGGTTCTCATTTCTCACCTCTGACGAAGAAAGGATACTTAATATTCCAACTTGGTAGAAACTGTATCTACTATCTTCGAGTCAATATCGAGCAATTGAAGAAATAAGTAGGTAGATGGACAGATAGATGAGTAGGTGGATGGGTAGGTAGATGGGTAGGTGAATTCTCTCTGTTGAAACTTTTCTTTAGGCCACGATCAAATGAAAAGAAGCATGGAAGAAAATAACGTAAGGTACTGGCTGGTTCTACTTTTTTTCTTTAATTAATGTCTTCGTTAACTCTTATTCTCGATAATGATTCGAAATATATCCGAACGAGGAGTACTTAAACGTATAACGCTTTTGTATCTTTTAAAAGATCGACAAGATTAAAGACTCTAAGCTTCCTTTTCAATGAATTAATTGACATCAGCAGAGTTATCGGATTATCAGGGTATTTAGAAAGTAATACTTAGAAACTCGACTCTACTCGCGAGTTACTATTGCTTTTAATTTGAGACTAAATGTAACCGAAACACTTAAGTTAAGTTAAACGTTTAAAAGGAAAAGGCTTTGAGTGTTATAGCAACAAAGTAGAAAGATGCTACCTAACTGTCCTTATACTTTCAATCGACTTTGTCTCCAAGTGTCTCTCTCTCTCTCTCTCTCTCTCTCTCTCTCTCTCTCTCTCTCTCTCTCTCTCTCTCTCCCTTCGTTTCTTCCCTCCTCCTACAAACTGAAACACTTTGAATAGATCGTAATTGAAGAATTTCTGAGCACCTAGAGGTTTCGCGCGCGATATCCGATCGATGCTTGTGATATGATAAGTGAAAAACTACTCGAACAACGACCAATTTGAGCTCACCTTTGCTTTTGTCATTTTTTTTATCCTTCCCATCGAAACGTTCATTCTTACTTTGTTCTTTGTCGGATAAACTTTTTTTCTTTTTTATTCGACATAATGAAACGCGAATACGAATAGAAATGCCATTCGTTGATATTTCCCCTTAAAATCTTCCACAAATATTCTATTATAGTTAAAACTTTATACCGTGTTTGCACGTTACATCACGTTACATCGTGATCAACATCGAATAACTACCCTTTTCACGTTCGATAGACTCTTTAAACTTGAACAATCGAATCGATCGAAAATAAAGTGGTTTAAAAAGAAAATGAGAAATATCTTAAGTTAGGTTTCGTATAGATACAGCTCGCTATTACTCAAAGATATTATTCACTTTCGAGCAGTCTTTACAAAGTGACTGCTAACCGTGAATAATCTGCAACGCAACAACAACAGGCATTTGTGTATGTGTTACCTCGGCGTCAATTTTTTTCCCATCATAAAAAAGCCGATAAAAATTAAAGACGATCGCACTCGTGATCGCACTCGTGATCGCACTCGTCGTCGCACTAATCTTCATTTACTTTTAATTAACGCGAAAATAAATAGATTACGTACGGTTAACGACGTAACGAATTTTTCCCTTGGAGAAAAAAGATTCAATCTGGTATAGTAATGAAAAAATGACAAAATGTCGCGCTTAACTTCCTCGATTCTAAGCTGACATATATTTTTTGTCATTAGCTTCTACGTCGCTTCTATTCTCTTTGATATTCTTGCCAAACGTTTATTTTACTTTTGCTTCTTCTTCGTTTCGCGACACCGTAGATCCGATCCCAGTTACGATCTCCGTTACGATCTCTGTTACGTAATTCTTAGTTATCATATAAGCAGCTTTTATTTCCTTTCAAGTTTAAATGCAAGAAAAGAAGCAAGCGACAAATTTTTAAAGTCCCGTTACACCCTTTCATCGTTCATTCATCAATCCTACTCGTATTCGCTCGTAAGAACAATCAGTTATTTCCCAGTGATTTTGTTCATCATACCGACTGAAACAATCATATCCGTCTATCATCGTTAAAGTGTATAACTCGACTTTAATTCGTGAAAACGCGACTTCGTTGTCGCGTGCACGTGCAGAGTACTTGGTTAAACGCGTTTAAATGGCAAAGGAAAGAGAGCGTATGCCTTCTTTTAAAGAAGCCAACTCATCCAACGATATTTATGCGTCTCCTGTGGGTGCTCCTACACGATCGGTTATTTATAAAACCATTGACGATAATCAATAACCTATGCCTATATATCTCCTCTCTCTCTCTCTCTCTCTCTCTCTCTCTCTCTCTCTCTCTCTCTCTCTCTCTCTCTCTCTCTCTTTCTCTCTCCTTCTTCTAAAGCTTACCTCTGTAACAGCGAAAATTTAGCAACACTCGATAAACAAACAAACCCTTCGAGTTTTCTCTTTAAAGAACAGAGAAGGAAGGAAGATAGAAATCGAGAGAGAGAGAGAGAGAGAGAGAGAGAGAGAGAGAGAGAAAGTTCCAACGGGAGTTCCAACGACAAATGTTTTACACATAAAATCATTCTCATATTTTCATATATATATTATTATTATATTCTTTTTCGAGAGAAAAACGATGCAAAAGAAAATTCGCCTCTTTGTTTTTCTTACATAAGGGGGTATCATGCTTACCTTCATAAATTTTGTTTCGTTTGTTCGTTCGTTCGTTCGTTCGCTTTACATTTCTATCTTTTTTTCTAAGCTAAGAAAAATATTCTCGTTCGAATATCCGTTTATTCCCTGTAGTGGCGCCCAATCTAAAGTCCTGTTCGATCCCGTATATCTCATGTCAGATGATAAATTGGATTTAACGAGAAAATATTTGATTTGATCGTCGTTACTTTTCAATATCTTTCAAAGTGAATTACGAACGAATTGATCGGAAAGCGACGAAAAAAGGAAAAAACGAATGATCGATCGTAGATCCCTGCTCTCTCTCTCTGTGAAACTTCTTTAAGCTGCACGAAATGAAAGAATATTTGAAATTGAAAAGGAAATTTGAATAAATCTCGACGTTAATACTCGTAGATTGAAGAGATTTTATTGCGAGATTTGTTTTGATCGAGGCTACTGCTAGTTTGCACGATCCAAATCCACCGGATTTCGTTTTATACGTTAACAAAATAAAAGAACGATCTCCAATTTTTGATGGGCAATAATTATTCGCTGGATTACAAATGAAAAAACAACAAAATATAAGAAACAAAAGGAAATTGGTGTAAAGACAATAATAATAGGAATATTTTGTAGAAATTCTGATCTTTGCAACAAAAGTTTCGTTGGTAGACTGAATTCGCGTTGAAGGTTGTCCAGTTTACTAGAACGTTAGTTTTACAGAACCCTGTACTTTATTGTCTGTATTTCTTTCGACGAGAAAAGGATCGCATAAAAGCATTGATCGAGGTCGAGACGCCCGAAAAACGCATCGGAAAAATTACGCGTTACGCGCGTAAATCCTGTCAAGACGAGTTGCATATCTTTCTCTTATCGTTTTTAACTAAAAAAGTTAAACCTAGCACCGCGTAACGCATAAAATGTACACTATTCGTTCGTTCCTAAATAAAAGAAAATGTATTGTTCTGTGTTAAGATAAGAAAGGTAGGAATTGTTAGAGTTAAGCGTAAAAACATCAATCAAAGGTATTATTTAAATGAATGTTCTGTTTCGTTAATTGTCGAACACTCGAAATAAGGTATCTACACTTGTGGTTACACTACACAAAGATAAGTCGGTCATGGAAAGATGCCACAGGTCGAATTGGTGGACACACTCACTGTAATAATTTGGAGCGGAGGGGGCGGGCAGGTGGAGAGGAAGATAAGAAAGGGCGGTGGCGGTGTTTCAATCTCGTGGTAGGTCGTCGCGTACCTGAGATCGGTTGATCGGTGGTGCAGGGCGCGGCGGCATGCTCCCGTCGCAAGACAGCGCCGTTCGACGAGCACTGAGCACCCAACATGGGCTCAGCATTCTGCGCCAACGGGGTTGCGTCGACGTCAAAAAGACGCGAACGCACAGCCCTGCGCCCTCGAAAATGTTCTCTCTCTCTCTCTCTCTCTCTCTCTCTCTCTCTCTCTCTCTCTCGGTTGCGCACACTTGCATCCTAAAAGCCGAATCTGCGCAGAATCTTCCCCTACGGAATTGCTAAAAGCCAGATGCCGAGGAAGATCAAATGGAAGACCAATGCTAAGCCAAAACTCCTTTCTTTTCTTTTCCTTCCTTTTTTTATACTTACATTTCCATTATTCAACATTACTTTTATTATGTTTACCAACTGAAACGGCCAAGGAAATAGCATTAACGTTGGTTATAGATAAAAGCCAGAAGATAAGACGTTATCAGTAATTAAAAACGATAACGAATTATCGGAAAATACGGCAGAAAGTAATAAGGTAGCGTATCTACTCGACAATAGTATAATATTTCAAATAAATAAGATTCCTAAAATATGTTTCAAAGAAAAAAAAAAGCAACGAATCGCATAAAGTAGTATTTATTATTTATTCGTATAACCGAATGTTTTTCTTCGTTCGAAGAGTGCCAAAAAATCGTGGCAATACTTTAACGAAGGATATCTGTTTCAAACCGCAAAAATGAAAAGGGTAGAAGAAGCTCAGCCTGTTGCGTCAGGGTTGCCCCAAAAATGTGTTTCACGAGTCGCGAATGAAATCTAACGAACGAACGTTCTTGTTCGGAGGTTGTTTAAACGTCGATTAAAGTAGATAAAACAAGAGAGAGAAGGAAAAAAAACGATTACGAGGTCACCGATTAAAATACGATCTCAAAAGTATTAACGATATCTTGATTTTTATCAGATAAACTTGTTACTATTATATTGCGCCTGAAATAGTTATAGAATAAGTTGTTTCCTCGATGTAAAGAATTTTCTACGTTTTATCGCTGAGCACGCGCAATCGTAATGTACATTATTATAAACATATTGCGATACGTTATGAGACGATGATATTCGTTCATCAGCATATCCCTATAAATCGTAGCTGTCTCCACGGATTTGAGGAATGCTTCGAGGAAAATTCATGTAAACGGTCGCACGATAATGCGCGAATACGCCAGTAGTAGATTAGAAATTCCATCGCGGTAATCCATTGTGAATCCAATGCGACAATTATGGAGTGACCATCTCCCAAAATACAAACTTAATATAACGGTATCATAGAGATAAACGCGATTACGATCAATCGATCGCTATTCGACTAAAATTCAATATCATTTTATTGTAACTAATTGAATTGTTCCTTTATTTCTCTTTGTATTTTTGAATCGGTAGCGAATTATAAAATAAATTTAATGGAATCACGCGGAGGGAGAATGTGCGAAGGAGTTGTGAGTCCGAATAGCAAAGAATAAACAGCAGGAAGAAGGTGCGAACGGTGAAATGAGATGGTGGCAAAATATTCCTGAGTTTTAATCGTAAAAGAACATCCTTGGCAAGTATTTTCCATATCAAAAGGAATCCCAATTTCTTTCGAGCGCGTTATTAAAATCCTTTTATACGAACTTTTCCTTCTTTATTCCTTTTATATTCGCATTTTCTTACTCGTTTTGTAAAACTAGTAATAATAAATCATAAATGCAAATCCGATTACCGTATGTATGTGAATATACGCGTGAATTTATAGCTAAACAAACGTATATTATTATCCTGCGATATGTCAAAGTAGACACTTGTCAATATTTCGAATTACATCGAACGACGAGGAGAAATAACGCGTTATAATGGTGCAAGACGAACAATGCTTTTGCCAATAGATACAGTACAGACCCGTCGTATCGGTGTATTATTCCAAATCCCTAATATCGTCCAATAGTATCATCATTTGCAAGCACACCCGTCTTTTCATAGAGTTTTATTTTAACACGCGTGAGCAAAAGTTATCATAAATAATTTGAAAAATGAATAACTTCCATTGAAAAACTTTTCAAGACTTGTAGTTTTATAATCCATAAGAAAAGTCAACTCAAGAGATCTGGAGAAAAAGTAATGAATTTTTCAAATCACCTAGAAGCTTCCAGCCAGTCCTTGGTAGAGAACGTTACGCACACATGAAATGTTAATACATTATGGAAAATTGATTAAAGAAGACCAATTTATTCGACCGAATGGCCAAAGGATATTGGAGCTTTTTTAAAACGTCTATTTCTTGGCTTTTCATCCATTCTTGGCTCCCCCTCCCCAAGGAGCATGGGATAACCGAGAAAATGCGTTGAGCACCCTTGGCTCATCTTTTGCTTAATAAATAAATGACTCGAATGAAAATTTTGCCACGTTAGTACTCAAGCTGTATCTCATAAGCTCCCTGTACAAGCTGTAAAAAGAATTTAATATTATTACGAGGCAAAATGCAAAATTACCCTTGCCTTTATTTTATGGTTGCTTTTACGAATATTCAGTCGAGAATTTTTATACCAGAGCGAGCATCAATATCATTTCATTGAATTTTTGTGTCCCAACGAACAAAACTTTATACTTTTGCAACTAATCATCGGTCGGATCTAACATAGTTACGCTATCGTTCAAATCTCTGTCTCGATCAATTCATGAAAAGCTTAAGTTTTACAAAAAATAACTAGCTTTAACTATTAGTTATTCACGAGAGACGACGAGTAGTTAAAGTATCAGATTGAAATTTGATTTCTCTTTGAAAATCTCCTTTTCTTTCTACAACAGTGCTCGTACTTATCTCTTTCTCTCTATTTTAAAAATGAATGTACCGTTAGTCGTGCCGTTAGTCGAATGAAATTTCAATTTTATACTTTATAACAAGTCAGTATGATTATTTAATGAATTAATGGATCTCCTGTTTTAACGATACGCAGTTACATTCGAAGCAGCTCGTTCATTTTCTAACCACGACTCAACATGATATATGATAACGAGATTCGAAGCAAGAAATTGAATGATTTTTTGTCCGCAATGGGACTCTCAAGTGGTCGATGTGTTGGTGGTAGACCGCATCGTACCTTACTCGTACCGTACCGCATTGCATCGCATCGTAACTACAGGGATCCCAGGACGCCTGCTTGTGTGTGATCCTCATTGCCTGTGATACACCTCGACAGCATCGAAGACTTACCCTGGAGACGCATCTCTTCTCCAAATTACTAACAGTTATCTTAATACTAACATTTATCCTTTGTATTTTCCATTCCAACAAAAACATGCTGCTTCCCAAGATTCAACAATAAAGTATCAGTTTGATCCCCATCTCGGAAATTCTACTTTGCTGGTGATTTCTCGTACAGAAGTACTACTCGAAAGGGTTGCAATTACATCGATCGTTACCCTTCCCATTTTCTGCTTTTAATTGTATAAACAATATCTCGAAAAGAGAAACTTTCAAGATTAAGTTATCCGATAAAAGAGCAAGAAAAATACATCCTCAGTTTTCATTTAAAAAACATTTTTAAAGAATAAACGAAAGATATCTAACAACGAGAGAAATTTTACATCTCGAACGCAGGCAAGTGATTCAACAAACTCGCGTAAACTCCTTCCATCGATCCTCTTAACTTTTTCATGAAGATAATTAATGCAAAACTTAAATGAATTATTTTGTTATTTATTTATTTATACATCCAAGTAGTACTTGATAAAAAAATAAGGAATACACGCAAATTTAAGATAGAAACTCGTAAAACATATGCGTGGTATTTGCAAACGATGATAACGCGATCGTAAGGGGTCAGAGTTCGAACGATCTTTGAACGGTTCGTGGAAGTGGTAGAAAATAATATAGAACAACGAGAGAGAGAGAGAAAATTTGTTTGTCCCAAACAACTTGTCGAGAATCGTTCATAATCGTTCGGTCAATGACGATCAAAGATTCTCCCCTCACAATTAAAATCTTGTATCATATTTTGATGATTCTTTCTTTCAACAGATTCGATTGAAAGGTAAAGTCGATTCTCGAAACAAATCAACTTTCTTGTAATCTCTGAAAGAAGCTCGATAACGTCGGGTGTCGTCCTCGTCATCGTTGATTTCTTCGGAAGCTTGCTATCTACAATAGCAAAGCAGTGTGTCGTTGACCATCGTGGCGGCTGCTCTTGCTACCTCCTATCCGTTCACGAGGTTTTCTTCTTTTCCCTCTCTTTCTCTCATACACTCACACACACTCGCTCATTCTTTTTCTCCCTCTCTCTCTCTCTCTCTCTCTCTCTCTCTCTCTCTCTCTCTCCCTCACTCTCTCACACACACACAAACACCCTGACTCATTCTTTTTCTCTCTTGATCTCTCGTTCGTACATTCGTTCATTTAGTCGTCAACATCTTATTCCTTGAATTACCCATTTGTAATCGAAACTCATGACTCTGTAGTACCATTTCGCTTCGAGAATCCTTTGTGATCGATCAAATTGTCAAAAAGAAGTTAAAGAAAACTAAGTCGTCATGTATTTATCCTTGGTGTTGACGAAATTAAACAGACTTGGACCATGCGGAAGGAGATTTGCCTCGTCTTCGACTGGATTGAGATTACCGGAACAAACCGTACGTTTACATATATTCTTTTTATTTATAATTTTCTTATCTTTTTCTCTAGAAAAATTTGTTTATCCGAATAATCAATCCATTAATCTAACAAAACTAACGTTTCCAAAACATATAGATCTAATTTAATCGTTTGATTTTGTAACGTTAAGCTAATAATATTAATGAAAAGTATTCGGATCAAATTTAATAATTGTGTACTGAAAATAAATTCACCGTTTGTATTTAAATTGTACGATAAATCTAACAATAAGTTAAAGATTGAACTTTGTTATATTATTTTTTTCTTTTATTCTATGCATGTACAAATAAAATACATTCTTTGGTTAGTGCGTCAGAGCTTTTGACATTGTACCTTAGATTTGACTAATTATTGAGCGTGATATCTCGTAGAAAAACTCTTCAAGATAAAAGTTAAAGAAACACGTTAGCGAGAATTTTTGTAAACTAATAACAGATAAAATAATAACGCGGAATTAATCTTCTTTCTTTCCGTCTCCTCTTCTTCTTCTTCTTCATAATTGCATGTATTTTCGTAAAAATAAATCTCGCGCGGATCTCGAGCGGATTAAAAGATAAGAACGTTGTGCGAAATCGTTTACCGAGGCACGTTCTTGCAACTAAACGATTACATTGCAATTGCGAAATTATTCGAGATTTATGTCAAAAGAAAATTGATTGACGACTGCAAATGAAAAACGATTGAAATTACAAGGAAATAAAGAAGAGAAATAATATGTAATCCTAGCGAAATTCGAAATGAGATTAAAACTTTAATAAGACGGACGGAAAAAGAAACGAACATATTGAAGACGAAATTGTTATCTAACTTACACGTCCATTGTTCTTCTCGTCAATTTTTATCTTCAATAATCTCGAGAAGATAACGTTGAAGCGTTACAAACATACAAAATTCCTACGCGCATCGTCGCGTGATATCGAACAAGGATAAAGCTACTACGAGATATGTGTATCAAATGTTTTGTAATAGAATGGTTTGTTAATTTAATGAGAAAAGTATATAAAATGTTTTTTCTCGTAGGGCAATCGAGTGGAATTGCGAAGGGAGTTGCAAACCTCGGAGAGACCACGACGAGCAACTACCTTCAACGATCGCAGCCAGCTGAAATATGCTCGTAGGTTAGTCGTTAAACTCGGAAGCGCGGTGATCACGAGAGAGGACGAACACGGACTGGCCCTTGGACGTTTAGCTTCCATCGTCGAGCAAGTGGCCGAGTGCCAGAATGAAGGTCGGGAATGCATCATGGTGACTAGCGGTGCTGTTGCCTTTGGCAAACAGAAACTCACGCAAGAGTTGCTCATGTCTCTGTCCATGCGAGAAACGCTCAGTCCAGCCGACCATACACGGGAACATGCTGGTAAGTACCCGCTCGAGGACACATTCACGGACACGCTCCCGGGCACGCTCTTTCGAGTCCATCTATTCAAATTATACACCCAATTAATCCACGACGGATTTCAAAGGAAGGACAACAGAGCATGCTTCAAGGGGGCTCTTTTCTTTTCAAACCTTCCCTTCGTAATATATCTCGTCACGAGCTAACGAGTATTCCAAAACTTGATGCGTATCTTTGAAAGACAAAGTAAAAATAACCAAAGACCTTTGATAAAACTTTCGATATGATCCCACGAGAAAACAGAAAAATGCAACTAACTTGTAATATTTCCTAGAGCTGAGTCTGTACGTACCAGTTTGCACACGCGTAACAAGTATGCGTATGCAAATATAACAAATCGAATAGAATAACTTTTTCTTTGCTTTTTGAACTACAGAAATTCTTGATAGATGCGGATGTCATTAGTATGCCAAATGAAAGAGAAACGGGAATAATAATATCCTATATTTTTCTTATCCATTTTTCTGGGGAAAAAGAAAAACAAATTGAACGGAACGAATTCGTTCGTTCGAAATTAAAAATGAATTGGAAAGGAACGCAGTTCGCTCGTTTTCGTTGGAAAATAAGCGAGTAAAAGTCCCTATCAAATCATTCAACGTGCCGAGTCTTACAAGGATAAGGATTTCTCTTCCACGCTATACCTAGACGCGTCTTTAAAGTTTTGGTGTTATTCCTTTGCTAGAGATTAAATTAGCTGCCTGGCAAACTCCAAGTCCGCGGAGAGTTATTTCACACCTGGGAACTCCATTAAAAGCGAAGAAATATCTATTATCCGTTTCCAATTACCAATTTCAACTTACGACAACTCCTTCCTCTTCGTAATAAGTTAACCGAGTTAACAGTTAAATAAATAAAATCAAGTATGGGAGAAGTTAGGTTTCTTATATTTCGCGAAATTCAAGGAAGGGAAAGAAAAAGCACGTTTCCTGATCTAATTAGGAGGAGGATAAAATGAATTCGCATGAAAGCTACGAAAAGGAACTTTCGAGTTTGTTTCGTTTGCTCCCTCAACGTAGTTAACGATCCTTGATACTCGATTCTTTCGAAAATGATAATTACTCGGATGCAGGAACTCTTTTGGAGCCTAGAGCGGCGGCAGCCGTGGGTCAATCCGGGCTGATGTCTCTCTACGATGCCATGTTTGCGCAATACGGCGTTAAGCTAGCTCAGGTATTGGTAACGAAACCTGACTTTTACAACGAGGAGACTAGAAAGAATTTGTTCAGCACATTGAGCGAATTGATCAGTCTGAACATCGTACCGATTATCAATACGAACGATGCAGTCTCGCCCCCGCTTCACGTGGACGAGGAAGTCGCTGGTGGAAGTGGGAGAAGAGGAATATCCATCAAAGACAACGACTCTTTGGCGGCGATGTTGGCTGCCGAAGTTCAGGCCGATCTGCTAATTCTGATGAGCGACGTCGATGGTATTTACAATCTTCCTCCATGGCAAGATGGTGCCAAGATGTTGCATACCTTCAGTTCGGACTTGAGGGGTACCATAAAGTTTGGTCAAAAGTCTAAAGTCGGTACAGGCGGTATGGATTCTAAAGTAAACGCTGCTCTTTGGGCTCTGGATCGCGGAGTTTCGGTAGTTATCTGCAACGGCACTCAGGAAAAGGCCATCAAGAGTATCATGTCGGGTAGGAAAATCGGAACGTTCTTCGCAGAGACCACCGGCTCGTCGACACCGGTCGAGGTCGTCGCGGAAAATGGTAAGCTTAAGAGAAATTCTTCTTCCAAACGATGTTTTACACACTCGTATTTATTCTATAGCACGCGTCGCTAGCAGAGTATTGCAAGCTCTTAAAGCGGAGGAACGAGCGAATTGCATCAACGTTTTAGCAGATTTATTGGAAACCCGACAGAAAGAAATCCTCGAGGCAAACGCCAAGGACTTGGAAGTTGCGACCAAGACCGGTCTCGCGAAAGCTCTGCTCTCGAGATTGTCTCTTACGCCTGGTAAATTGAAATCTTTGAGCTCCGGTCTACGACAAATAGCGGAAGACTCTTTGAAAAACGTTGGCCGCGTCGTGAGAAGAACGAAATTGGCGGAAGGACTTGAACTTAAGCAAATAACCGTACCGATTGGCGTACTTCTCGTCATATTCGAGTCGAGACCTGACAGCTTGCCGCAGGTAGCAGCTCTAGCTATGTCCACTGCGAACGGTCTCCTCCTGAAGGGAGGAAAAGAAGCTGCCTACAGTAACAAGTATCTCATCGAATTGGTGAAGGAAGCACTGAGTACAGTGGGTGCCTCTAACGCGATTTCTCTCGTCTCGACCAGAGAAGACGTAGGCGACCTATTGTCGATGGAAAAACACATAGATCTAATCATTCCTCGCGGTAGTTCGGATCTTGTACGTACCATCCAAGAACAGTCGAAGCATATACCGGTACTAGGCCACGCCGAGGGTATCTGTCACGTTTACGTCGATAATCAGGCAAATCTTGGTAAGGCGCTTAAAATCATCAGAGACTCCAAATGCGATTATCCGGCAGCTTGCAACGCCATGGAAACTTTGCTTATTCACGAAACGCATATGAGCGGATCCTTCTTTACGGATGTTTGCAACATGTTACAAAAAGAGGGAGTGAGTAGATATCATTTAATCGATTATGTAAGCCACTTTGATACATCTAAACTTGCAGGTGAAAATCTACTCCGGGCCAAGGTTGAGAGAGTTACTGACGTTTGGACCACCTGCTGCTAAAAGTATGAGAACCGAGTACGGTTCTCTCGAGTGCACCATCGAGGTCGTCTCCGATGTCGAAGATGCTGTAACTCATATCTACAAGTACGGGAGCGCGCATACGGACGTCATCGTTACGGAGGACATAGAAAAAGCGGCTTACTTTCAAAGAGAGGTCGATAGCGCTTGCGTTTTCCATAACGCAAGCACCAGATTTGCCGATGGTTATAGATTTGGTCTTGGTGCTGAGGTAAATTTCATTTACCGAACAAATCAACGGCCAAATCAATTCTTTGTAACGTCGTTACTTCACTTTTTAAGGTCGGCATTTCTACGGCTCGGATTCACGCACGCGGCCCGGTAGGAGTAGATGGTCTTTTAACGACCAAATGGATTTTGCACGGAGACGGACACGCTGCAGCAGACTTCGCTGAAGGCGGTAGCATGAGTTGGTTGCATCAAACTATGCCTTTGAACGACTCCCAATGAATCGAACACGGCAAAACAAGAGATCTTTTCTATTACGATCATATATTTATGATTCATATACAAGCATTTAAACAAAAAGTTTATTTCAAGATTATTCAAGGATCGTTCCTTAACGTATACGCGCGCGCACGCGCGGTAAACAAAAGAAAAACTGAACGAAGGATTTTTATTAAAGGAAGGCAAAATGATAAGGAGTTATTCAAAAGGAAAAGCCAATCAATGCTACAATAAGTGTCCTCTTATATTAAATAATAATCTTTGTCTCTCTCTCTCTCTCTCTCTCTCTCTCTCTCTCTCTTTCTTTCTCTATTTTGTATATAATGTAAATAAAATCATAGCTGATTAAGTTAATTATTATAAATGAAAGGAGATGCGAGCAAAGTGAAAATACCTTGACGCTCGAACTCAGCCTGGTTGTAGCAGTTATTCCTCGTTGAAATGAAAAAGTTCGTAAATAACGGCTAATAATATTCAACGCGAGCTTTAATATAGAGGAAGTAGTTTGCTTTCATTTATTTTCTATTCTTATCCGTTTCACACTTTCTTTAATCAATGTACTCACATTATTAGTATTAAATTGCCATTAACCGGATAATATATATATATATATATATCAATATATATATAATCAATTCTCGACATATCTTTAATGTTAAAAAAAAAACAAAGTCGTTTGTTATTCATTAAAAATATTTACTAATAATGTAAATACAATATTACATCAGTCAACGATTCGCCTTGAATAACTTCCAGAACGCATACGAATACTTGCGGCAATTGCTTTTATCAGAGATAAAGTTAAGTTTGATACGAGGGCCAACCAAAGGTGCACCATAACAATGGTACAGGGTCCAATAGATCAATCTCTTTTTGATTGCATGATATACCAAAAAACCGTTGTGTTTTCATTAAAATCTATTATTTTATCTAAAACGAGAGCATAATCGGAATGTTCTGCCAACCATCGATATAAGATTTTTTCTTTAAATGTGTATGCGAATAACGCAATGCAACGTGATGCAACGCGACGATTTATATATATATAAATACGCGCAAGGAAATATTTTTGTTACTTAAATTTTTATGTCGAAAGTACATATAATTCTATTTCTATTATTTAATGAGTATAATCTCTTAGTCGTAGATGATACGGTTAAGAGATGTTAAATATTTTCAGGTGCCCATAATTTAAATGTTCTATCATAGGAAGTAGTCGCGATAAATTTGTGATCGGGAGAAACATCGACGGACATCACTTTGCTATCGTGCCCTGACAAAGTTTTTAACGGTTGCCAGGTTTTATTCGACCAAATTTTAACCGTATCATCGTACGACGATGTAACCAAATACTGTCCTTCTCCTCTTTGATATTTCACGTCCGATAACATATCAGTATGAGCAGGAATAGTGTATATGCAAGACCTTTTCCGTAGATCCCAGATCTTGCAAGTATTATCTTCACTCGCTGTGGCTATGTGATAACCGTTGGGTGAAAAATCGATACCAAAGATAGGTTTTAAATGCCCTTCCATGAACATAATGCATCTACCCGTTCGTAAATCCCAAACTCTACCAAAAGAATCGTAACTACCGGTAGCATTGACACTACCATCCCACTGAAAGCTGTGTTGGAATAGAAGACGTTATTGCCTGTATTATATATATATATCCTAAATAACTTAGTTAACTTACTAACTGATAAGAGTAATCCAAAATTAAATCGATTAAGAAAAAATAGTTGTTTATAGACCAGTATGCGAATTACCTCATACAGTGTACAGCTCTAGCATGACCTTCTTGATGCAAAACTTCTGCCTGTTGTTCCAAATCCCATAACCGCCAGGAGGCGTCGTAACAACAAGTTCCAAGAAACCTTCCCGATGGATGAAAGACAATCCGTGAAACTCTGTGCGGTTCATGTCCTTCAACTTCTGCTAAAGGTTCTTTACCTTTACCGCCAGCCCATAATTTGATAGTGCCTAAAATGGGACAATTGTATAAAGCAATTTAAGACAAAAATTCAAGAAATACCTTAAATATGAATTGTTGAAAATGCAAGCGTACCATCTGAAGCGCAAGATGCCAATACACACGTTTGCCCTGCTTCATCTCCTAGAATCTCTTCGGAAAGGGTGACATTAGGATGGAAAACGATGCAACTGACGTTACAGTCGTGTCCCTGAAGAGTTCGTAAGAGAGTACAGTCTGGTACGGACCATAATTTGCATAAGCTAGACCACGAGGCTGTAGCAAGAATTTTTGAATTAGGACTAAACTGACAATACGATATTGGTCTTGTATCACCGATTTGAGAACAATATATGGATAATGCTTGTAGCTTTTTCAAAAGTTCTTGTCTACGAGCTGTACGGGTAGCACCTGGCAATTCGAAATCCTGTCTTGCTTTTTCTAACCTAATTTTTGCCCTGGCTAAAGAAAAAGCTGCAAGAGAAGAAGAAGAAGAAGAAGAAGAATCAATGAGCTTGTAAATAAATGAATTAATAGAGTGAAGAGGAAGAAGAAGCATTGGAACGTAGAAATTACTTGCTATCCAATTACGAGCTATTTGAAGCGATTCCGGTCCTTCGTGATACCACGTAGATTCCGTGTCCCTCTCAACCGCGTGAGAAGGTTTTTCCTCTTCTTCGTGTTTCTTCTTTATCGCATCCTCTCCGAGGCTCGCCAGCAACTCTCTCAATCTGGTCCGTCTATCTGCAGGACCTTCGCCGAACAAACATATTGGCTCACCCAACTGTCTTAAATTTTTTTTTACTTCTGAATCATCCGTGGATACGTTGATCTGTCTGGCCTTCTTCCTGCGTTCAAATTCCTCCAACAAGGCTTGTCTATCTTTCGACATTTCATCTTCCAATTCCATATATTCGTTGGAAATGTGTATGTTACCAGCCAAGGATACGTTAATCGCATCGTTAGAATTATTGGCTTCTTTTTCTTCTTCCGAACCCTCTGCTGCTGCGGCAAGACGAGCACGTTCTGCTTCTTCGAGTGATCCATAATGTACAATTTGTTGTTTCTTTACGTATACCAAATCTTCGTCGTCTGACATATTTTCTGAAATTATTGTAAATCAAATAAATGAATTAATATATTAATTTAACAAACATTTCGCTTTTTACTATTTAATATATAATAAATATATTTTAAACTATTTAATACGAAAAAATATAGTTAGCCCAGTCAATAAGAGGTGAAGGAAAAACTTTCAGGTAGAAGTTCTCGACAGTTTGATACAAAGGTAATTCGACGTCGCTGAATCGAATGGTGCTCATTTTTTTGCAATACGATGTGGCCTTAACGAGAAAAAGGGTAAAAATGGTCGTATCTTAGAATCTAGGCATTTAATCGAAAAAAGTTTCAAACAAAAGTTGTAGATAATTAAAAAATATATAAAAAATGTTCTAAGGTGTATCTTCGTACATAATAAATAATAACAGCAATAGACGATTAAGACAAAAATCAAGGAATTTCAAGCAACACGAACCTAACCTTCGAATGAAGTAACATTAATAAATATCATACCTTATTAATGGTTAATATGGAAACTAACGTTTTTTCAACTTAAAAAATATTCCTTTAATACAGAAAATACTTGTACACTTGTAATTAATATTTAAAACGTTTATAGCAAGAATAAGTAATACATAAAAACTTCGCGCACAGCTGCAGGACAGCCAACTGCATACAAATAATATAATGACCAGCTAATATCGATAATCGAATGATAATCGCTTGGCTTCAAATTCGATTAATTGAAAGATTTGATTTTGAATGTTCTTAAAAGTGGAAATAAAATATTTCATCATTAAAATATGTTTTGATAACATTATATAATTATGGAATAAAAAGGAAAGTACGTGGATAAATAAACAGAGCATAAGGATTACTTTCACTGTAATTTTAACCTATAAAAGTATATGCAATATTAGCGCCTTATGCATTTGACATAAGGTTCATGAGTCTATCGAGAAAACTATCGATGTGGCTATCGATGTGGCTATCGATGTGGCTATCGACGTGATTATCGATTAGTGCATCGAAAAGAAAATTAGTCAGAAAATCAGGAAGAGAATCAGCAAGAGAACAGCTGAAGGCTTCGCTACTCGTATAATCCTTGTCATTTAGTAGTAAAGAGACGATGATTTCGAAAGCAACGGAGAAAAAACATGCGAAAGAGAAAGTTTCGAGTGGGATTTAAAGAGGAAGAAAATAAAAGTATACGTGCAATCCTGAATAAAGCCTACCTTGTTGCCTTGTTGCCTCTAAAAGAATAGTCAAGGTTTAGTTGCTACGTGATATCGTTGTATATTCGTATACGTTGCCTTTTCGAGCGGGAAGAATCGAATTTGTTAATTGTTGCTATGGCGGACTTTGATGCCATTTACGAGGAAGAAGAGGAAAATGAACAAAATTTGGAGGAGCATTACGTGACGATGGTGCCTGATCCTATAATTATTCGTGGGGCTGGAAATATGACTGTGTAAGTAGTATATAGGTGTTTTTATCCTACGTGCCTCTCTATGCGTATACTCGATACGCACTTTGTTCTCAATTCTAACGCACGTGCATGCATATCTATTTCTTAATTAAATACTATACTTTGATATGCAGTTTTGGACTTAGCAATCGTTTCGAATCCGAGTTTCCCAGCGGCCTGGTATCCAGAGTAGCTCCGGAAGAATTCAAGGCAACCGTTATGAGAATAAATAGCGTCTTGAAAAAAACTTTACCAGTTAACGTTAAATGGTTATTCTGTGGTTGCGTTTGTTGCTGCTGTACATTGGGATGCTCTTTGTGGCCAGTTATTTGCCTAAGTAAAAGGGTAAGTCTTCGTTTCATTTGGACATTAATTAACTATTCTATTATCTAATTTTCTTCTTATTTTAAATAGACACAGCATTTGCTTAATAAATTGTTAGAATGGGAGAATGGTAGACTGTATCATAAACTCGGGTTACATTGGCGACTAACTAAACAAAGATGTGATAGCTCCTCTATGATGGAATACGTATGTTAAAAGTTACAGTACAATTGCACTCTCATCGCTTGTAGATGTAACTAAGCAATTAAAATAATATTATTGATTTGCAGGTACTTTTAATCGAATTTATTCCAAAAATACCGATATATAGACCAGATTAAAATAATGTCTTGTACAATCGACGAAATAGGAAATATAACAGGCACTTGATTAGCCAGATCGTTAATTTCCAATTATATCGAATGGATAAAAGGCACTAGGTATTGCCGCAATGCCATAGATATTTGGTGGAACGCATATTTTTGTAAATATTATGCGTAGGAATACACAGTACAATAATAAGATAGGTATATGGGCAATAGCAGTTAGTTCTCAATTCACGCCAATGTTGCATTATATGATAATGCAATCTACACAAGTTACATTTTGATTGTATAAACTCGATTCCTCCTTTTCGAGTTATTGTCGAAAAATATCGCGAGGAAGAATGGCGTAAATTCGAGGTCCATCTGCGTATGTTATATTACCCCATTGATTTAAGATACCTTAGAACGATTGAAATACGAGCCATTTACACTCTCATCTTTCATAATAAAATGAAAGAATCTTGTTGTTGATATGTATTATTGACGAATCGAGAAGGGATAAGAAGGTATTTTATCGTTTACGGAGAAAAATGTTAACGGATACTCTTCTGAAAAAAAAACACTATCCGCAGCGCTTAGCGCATAGAAGCACTATTATTTCTTATTTTTCGTTTACTTTTATCTATGTAACTAATATTTAATAATACAATCTATTGGCTAATTAGTATTTCAATTCTCAGGTAAGAAATTAATCTCGATCAGTACAACGAACATATTCAATTGTAGAAAGTAATGTAAAAAGTGAAAATGACTCTAGGACAATTTTGTATAGTTCGCAAAATATATCGGATATACGTCATGTGTTGTTTTGTATATATTTGTTTATACGTATAGATTTATTTTATGTATAAGTTGATTTCTTACCACAGTGATATTAGAAATAACGCTATGTATGTACAGCTCGTGTACAGCTCGTGTACAGCTTACGAATTCATTTTAAATACAATTTTAACCAAATATTACAAGCAGAATTCTTTTATTGTGAAGAAAATCAATATGCTTTTGCACTTAACTTACTATTCTTTACGATCGGTACATATTGTTGATTAATTGTATAATCATGCACGAGATAGTTACAGCCATTTATAATTGGCACGTCGGTACAAGGAAAAATAAATATTAATTGTCTCTTCTTCGTATTACTGTCATAATCATGTTTTGCGTGCAACTTGTCATCCTAAACAATATCAATTGTCTGGATAGTGGTGTACCCCCCTGCTGCATGTTATGTATTATGTATACACAATATATATGTATATATATATATATATATATATATATATCTCAGGATAATCTTTTTTTTTATTTCACACGCGTTATTATCATTAGATAATTAAAAGACAATTTATTTCTCATTTATTTAACGACTATACGATTCGTTTTGATTTGTTAGAAATGATGCGATAAAAATAATGATAGAATACAAAGTGAAATTTGTAATCGATACACATCGTAATAGATACCTTTGTTGCTATTCAGTGGCTGTGAACCAACAAAAAGAAAAAAAGAAAGAAAAAAAAAGAATATTTTTCCAATTGTATGTAAATTTTAAATATATACGACGGATTTACCAATAATTTCATCAAACTTGTATGAAGCGAACAAACATATTTATCAAATGCTCTAGTCACAATTTTCTGCATTGGATTTAACTTTTTGAAATTTGTATTTATTATCACGAAACAATAAAGGTTCAATAAAAGTTCGATAGTGAGTTTTATGTGGATCGTCGTATTTGTTGGTGGATACGCGAGTTGATTGGAAATAATGTACTTAATCTTATCCTCCCTCGTCCATCCACCCGAAGGAACTTTGAAACATCGTCATGTATCTATAGACGCGTGTAATACACTCGTCTCTGTTCGCAACCATATATGACATACATGCTGCTGGTATCTGCATTGGAATGATATTTACAAAGAATAATTCGATGTTATGATAATTGACGACAGGTGCCTTAGCAGCTTCTAATAACAGGAGATCATCACTGTTCACGATAGTGACAAAGTGTCCGATAGAAGATGTGTGATCGATCGTGCACAGACGAAACTTAATATTTTATTTATTTATTTGATATTATAAGAATTTGAACAAAATGCTTAATTGTTTCTTTTTTTTCACCTGATCAAAAGTGTGAATTAGTTGTTCGTATAATAAAAGATCACTGTAAATACGTTTACCTTAATTCTAAATAATAATTTACCTCAATTTTTTAATCATAAATGTTCGTTATCAATTTAAAAGGCATTAAAATATTGCTAATTATGATGCTAGCGTCGTTGCAATCGACGCAATCTTATGACTCTTCCAATACATATTCTTTCAGGTAAGAATTAATAGCATTTCCATTAAACTATTTCGATTAATTTGAAAGAAAAAGAAAGTAAAGACAGATCAAATATTCGTGTGTAGAAAAAACGATATTTTTTTTTTAAGAACCGACGATGAATGTCCCTTGCACCTAACTGTTTTGGATTTTCTATATAATTTCACGGAACCTGATTTAGAAATAACGTGGCCATGCGAAGCACGTTTTTATTGGTTGTCGTTGCAACCATTCGTTAAATTTGTACGATTTTTACTCAGCTATGTGACTCCATTTATTATAATTGTTGGTAAGAATTGTTTGCTACTACTATTATATCATACAATAGACTAAATTATAAAAAATGAATTATATCTTTTTATTCTACGTAACGTCGTATACGTGTACGTACATACAGGCGTGATATTAAATACCGTATCCTTTGCAATATTGAATGCACCCGTGTCGGGTGACTCGAGCTTATCCTTATATTTAAAGGCCCTTGCTATATCTGACAATGGAGCATTAATATTTAATTATGCAGTAGGTATAGCAAAATCACAATTTACATTTGTCAATGATCTTTTTATGGTAAGTCGTTGCAATGCATACGTATAAAAAAAATCTCAATATTATTTTCTATATGCACGTTTAATATCCGCAGAACAGTAAATTTCTATGCGATACCAATTCTGTGATAATGGAACTTTTTCAATTTACATCTACTTGGTTGGTCGTATCTCTAACATGGGCTCGGGTTTTTGCTATTATTTTTCCATTCGGAGCTCATAGTAGTAATCCTGATCGTTCTGCAATCATAAGCGTAACTACTCTGACATGCGTCAGCTTCATAATATCATTAACGAAATTATACTCTGGAGGTAATCAAATGAACAAAGTATTTGATATATAATATAATGTATCTAAACCTCAGTTCGAAGAGTAAAGTATTTCAAGTCTGAATAATTGTAGGATACGAAACTGATAGTGTTTTTGAATTTATACCGTGTCAAAAGAAAATCAAACCTTGGGGTAGTACTATGTATGTATATATTGCACTCTCGACGTGGCTACCGCTTACTTTTATATTTGTTGGTAATGTTTTACTAGTTATACATATGAAAAAATTGGATACGCTTCGCAGACAATTAACTCGTAAGTAGAACACTTTTTCATAGTCAAAATTTTCCTCCAGATATTATTTTTAACAGTATATGTATACCTATGTTTTTCCTTAGGCAGTTTCTGCCAAAAGATTAATAAAACAAATAAAAGGAGTAGGACTTTATTAGCGGTATCAATGGTATACTTAATTTTACTATTACCACTTGGAATAGTTGAAACTTTAGAACTCTACTGGGATGTGATATTAATTAAATATCCAGAAAAGAATATAAAAGAAAATAAACAATACATAAATTGGTAAGAATGCTGTACATTAGCATATACTTGACAATTCTTATTTACATACGAAAATATACTAAAAGTATAACTATAGTATGATCAATTTTTCTAATGTTTTAGGCTAGAAGAGAAAATGTTGTTGAAGTGGTGTCGTGGACTATTCTTTCACCTATATCATTGGAATTTTGCATGCAATTTTTTTTTATATTATCTTACGGGAGAAAAATTTCGAAGCGTTGTGATACAAAAATTGATCGATTGCAAAATCATATTAACTTCGACAAAATTAACAAAGTGTCTTCCGTGGTGTAAGTGCGAAGACCGATTCAAATCTATACGAACTCCGAGCATATTACTTATCAAAGTTGTCACGTTCGACGAGTCTTTCGTTAACAATAATATTACTACAGAAAATAATAGCAACGTTGCATCGATCATTTGATCAATCTCATTTTGGATAAACTAAGTTGAAATAAAACTTAAAGATTCTAAAAACTGCCATAAATGAAAAAGAATGATTTAACAATTAGTTACAATGCAATGTGTTCTCTTCGGATAATAGTTGAATACGATATTTTACGATATGAATCATTTATTGCGTTTTACATGAGAAATTCCTATACGAATGTAGTAAAATATCACAATATATATATATATATATATAATTATATAATTTTTCATTTGTAACATTGGATTAATAATGATGCTAAGGGATATGTTATTTGAACGTTACACATTACGACTGCATAAAAAAAATGTCTGGTCCCAATATAGATTTCTAAAGTGGATACGACTATTTCGTATCTGTTATATTTAATATAACTTCATGAATATTTTCATATTGTTTCATTATAGAGGCAAATTATGAACATTATACAGTTAATTACAATTAATTATTTGCGGAATATTATGATTCCTGTTTTATATACTGAAATAAATAAAAGATAAAATGTATAAAGATTATGCTCTTATTCTATTCGTATATTATGCTTATACTAACTGTATCACTCTTTGTCTGGTAACTGGAGTAAAACAAACACTTCATCGATTGAATTATTTCATACAATACACGAAAAAACATAATCAGTGTACTTTTCATTACTAACAAAATATATATATACGTAATATTCCATTTGCTTTTACAAAAAATACTCAAAACTTGTGGAAAGCACATAACAAAACTCGTAAAGCTATGAAGCTTTTTAATTACACATATATATAAATAATAACAAATTTAACATTCTACATACGAAAAAATACATCTTTTAAAACTACACTAATTTCTATATTACTAAATGTTTCGTACAAGAGATATATATATTTTACACATGATTCAATTAATTACTAATAATTTGATTGATCAAATAAAAATTAATTATTTAAATATTATTTCATATATAATATTTGTACACAAGAGGTGTACAATATTAATATTAAAGATTTACTTATGATAATTTATGGTACTGATAAAAATACTTGAAAAACAAAATTTGAACTAAAATTGTTAAATATTTTAACAATATTCGCGAACGAATCGAATTTACATTAAGTTACCTTAAGACTATAATGAATTCTGTTAAATATAAGAAATAATACATTATGCTTTTCTATATTTAATGAAAAATAATTTATAACAAGATATGCTACAACACTGTGCAGTTAATAGTATGTAACTTTTAACTACAAAGTATATAAATAATACAACACATGTTTTCATTCAATTGTATAAATACGAATTGCTATTAAAACGAGATAAAAATTGTAATTCAATATATATTGCAAACATTTGCGCAAATATAAAGATGTTATTAAAAATATTCTGCAGTACTCTCTAATACAATCAATATGCTACAAAATAGAAAGATATTTTTTATTGTAATACTAAACAATGTCCTTCCTAAGAAATAAATGTACTTAGAATATGATCTTGATTTCAAAGGCAACAATTATTTGAAATAGTTTCTTATTGTTTTTTTCTTTCTATATGCGTGTATAATTCAGTCTTCTCTTATACGAGTAAAATTTTATAAAAACTTATACTTTTTTGCCGTAGAAATTTTTTCGAAATTTTGTATTAAAATAATGGATGTATTTATTCCATTGAAAATATCAAACGAATAATAGAAAATGTTTGCAATATCAAAGCAATTATTACATTCTAAGGCCCAAAATTGTAAAACGATGATTATGTTGAATGCGAAATACTGTATGGAATTCTGTTAACATAATTAGTTGGAAATTGACCCTTTTTACCTTTGCATTCGCCGTATAACCAGTCGTCCGATAGTCTTGATAAAACTTTAATTTTGGCTCCTTCCTTAGAGTACGATTATAATCAATATTTATATATTGCATTATACACAGCAAAGTTTCAGTATATACGGACTGTAAAAAAAAAATTAATGATGTTATTTTTGCTAACTCACCTCAAACAGCAAATCTTCTGAGGTCTCTCCCTTAAAAGAATACAGGGCAACAACAATGTCGTCTTGTAATCCAGGTAACGGAACTTTTATATCGAGAAAGTTGATTGGAAATATTCCTTGTCGATTTCCCACCCTTCCTTCCATCCAATCGTCGTTGACAACTCTTATCAAGGTAACAATGTCCCCTTCCTTTAAAGGTAAATCATCCGAATGTGTGACAGGAAAGTCGTAAAGTGCGATACCATAGGGTGTTTTACAGTTTTCCTAAAAATACATCATTTATCTTGGAACAGTGTAAAACGGAAACAAAGATAATACGAATTTAACCAATTTCGTCATATACCTGAAATTCGTTTTCAGATTGAGTTAAGTATTCCAAAGGTGGTGCTGGTGGCGGTATTGTTGGCATCGGGGGAGAAGGCTCCTCTTTAAGATCATCGCCCCACGCGTCATTCACCGAATACGACAAGTCCAGGGATATTGGTTCGCTAAGAGGTCTCATCGTTCTTTGTAAGTTATTAGATGAGCTTTGAATTTGATTGATTTTTTGTTCCAACTGTTTTTTTAATATCTTTGGTGCTGGCGGTTTAGGTGGCTTTGGACGTATTATCGTTGGCACGGAGTGAATCACTTTAGAATTAGTTTGTCCAAAAGGCACTTGCTTATCCGTATAATTATCATTGAAAGCAAAAAAGGAGGTATCTCCAATTTGCCTGACATCTTCAAACCTTCCAGCATTTCTTTCCTCTATCGGTCCAAATGGATCCGACACTGGCTTCATTTGCCATGGATCGTTGCTCGGAAACTTTTTATTAGACATGCCAAAAAAGTCAAAATCATCTTCGAAGGCACTTTCTGTTTGAGAGGTATTTCCACTGCTGGTAAACGCAGAAGGATTGGAATTACCATCGCTACCAAAACTATCTATACTAACACCATCGCTGCTAGAACGCGTAGTGAATGTAGGAGAGCCAGGCGGACTAAGATCTATCAAAGATAGTGCTCCATTGGTATTAGAAGACTGGCACGAGACCTGGGACAAATTCAAAGTAGAACGAGACGTATTGGAGTATTCTTGCTTGGCTGCTTTCCACGCAAAGAAATTAGATAAAAGTTCTGTAGGTCGAGTCTGGGAAAATAAGATATGATGATGAAATGAATAACTTATAACCATACAGATGTGAAAGAAAATTGGTCTTATCATTCTTACCGGTTTTTTTAATTTCTGATCCCTCTGAGTTTGCATATGGCACTGATTGAACTTAGGCGGAGGTGGACGCGGTGGTGGCTTCTTCTTCTGAATCGGTTGGCTTATCAAATTGGTAGCAAAAATATCATTCCTAATAAAAATATAAAAGTTTACATTGTCTAACGATCAGTATAACAATGATTCTGTAGAAGATAGGAAGTTATAAAATGACATAACAGTGAGAGCAGCTCGTAATTGATACCAATTTTAATTTGGCAATGTATTTGCAACACAGTAACAGACATTCTTTGATGGAATGCGATTGCAACATGTTTATTGCACGCTCGACCGAGAATGACTTTACGTAAACATAGTTTCTACCTTGGGTAGATGTCTTTAAAAAGATCTAGTGTAAAAGGAGAAGAAAGAAAATAGTAATACGTCTAACTTACGTGCTACCCCAGACATTGCTTCTTTGTGGAAGAGAATTGACAGGTGGACGAGGGGCGGTACGCGTAGGAATCCGCATCTCTGTAAATAAATACAGAAGGAAGTGGCAGCAATCGAATGAAGCAATAAAGAGATAAAAGCTGGCGATGTCACGGTCTTGTTACGGTCTTGTTACGGTCTTGTCACGACGCTGTCACGGCGCGATGTATGTGCCGCCTGACACCGATTTCACACGTACAGAAGAAAAATTCTCTTGTCAAATGTGTGTGTATGCGTAAGTGCGTGCAAGCGCGCGTTCGCCCGACGCGGATGCAATGCCGACTAGAAAAAAACTATGCAATGTGTGCATCTAATTTGTTCGAACTTGTAGGAAATTTGAAGCACGGTCCTCTCGAAAATACGCCCACTCGATTCGCGTTAAACTCGATTAACAAAATGATAATACATTTGAAAAGCGACACATTCGTTATCGATGACTAAACGGCTCGATTGAAGGCTCCACTCGTAATGATAACTTTGACGTATGCTACGATATGTGTGTGTGTGTGTGTGTGTATGCATGACGCGAAGAGATTGCAACTGAAAGACAGATAAGATAGATCGACGTCTTTACCAAACTTCATTCCGAACAAGTCCTTATCGCTCGAGCATTCGGTTTACGCCTCTTTCAACAGAACTTTTATCGAATAATTGAAAAAATTACGGAGAGGTGTAAGAAAAGCCATGACGAGGACGGTATCACGACTCACCTGTTCTCACGTTCGCGGCCATTTTTCGCTTGACGCGCTGACGACGCGATTTATCGAGCTCGTGGCGGGATCGGATAATTGATTTCAACTTCAACTTTGACTCTTCCTCTAGGATTACTTTCTCTCTCCGTTTCCTTTTTTCTTATAATATTTCCTCGATTTATTAATTAATCCTTCACTTTCTGAATGATTATTTATAACGTGGTTACGGAAGCAATCGTAAAAAAGATTACGAAAAATATCGTGCCTCGAGAGGGTCGAATACAAAACTTTTATATTTATTATTATTTGCAATTTCTATTAATTATTTGCACTAATTACTTATTTTTTAGAAAAATGGCTAACACTTTGCGTACACGCGTCTTTTAACGATCGTAATTTAGTCGAATTAAACCAAGAAATCGTTTTATATACGTACTGCGTATTCCATGGTTCGCGTCTTACTAATGAAGTTATTCGAGGAACTTTCAAATCTTTATGATGTAACAATAATTCTTATTGGCTATACCTCTTTTTTATTTTACCTATCGATCAATCGATTGGTTGTTTTTGCTGCATTGCTCAATGGCATGACCAATTAGAAGAGTATCGTATGTCTATTATTAAGTTATGATGCGCGCGATTATTTAAACTCACCTTTGCGATATAACAGATATTTTATGTTGTAATTATCAAGATTTTAAATGAAACGAATTTTAAATGAACGAAGAAATAAAAAGAAGGAATCAAAGGATATAACTCGTGTTCGTAAAATTATGTCGTAAACATTACTTTATTTCGCCTATGTACAGAAACGTCGTTATCCTTCCTAATTATTAAAGTTATTCGTTTGTCTTCTTGTAGCTTTCGGTAGGATGATGTCGATGAAAATTATATACATATAGACCGTTTGCGAAGAAGGTGCTTATAGTTGCATTATACCCTGACTAAAACGATACGAAGAATGTTTCTTTTTAACGTATCTAAAGACGCACCTAGAGTATGTGAATCGATGAGATATAGTTAGAGAAAATAAATGGAAAAAGAGAAGGGAGGAGGAAGCTTTCCTCGATCTAGCGATCTAGCGAGTTTGTTTGTTTTTTAGTCTTACTTCCGTAGAGAGACGTTATATAAAATGATATTTTTTTAAAGGTATCAAATAGAAGAACACTTGGTACTTTCCAAACATCCTCTTACTCGCAGCACGCGTTCTGAAATTATTCTTATTCTTGTTTTAAAAATCAATTTTCGTTACATCCCTTAATAAATAAACGTTGCACTTTTTTTAGAAAATAAAAAGACCTTGAACTATGATCGATTGTACGGAATAACTCTAACTAACGCGCTTTAGATCGCAAAGCCGATGCAACAACGATAACGTATCTCTAATATCTAAGATTTAAATCGTTTTTCGTGCCCTTATCCACCTCTCGAGGAGCGGAGAAGTCGTGTACGAGATACGATCGAAAGATTCGAAAGACATGGATCTATTGGTAAAAAATATTAGATTCGTGTTTTTTTAACGACACGATGCGTTTGAATAATCTTGAAAATACACATGAAATCGAGGATTCTATTTCGATCGTATCGCGTAGAAACTCGCGGCCGTCGTTCATTCTCATTTGAAATATTAAACGACATTCGGAAAGGAGCTTGTTGGCGTAAAAACGATGAGGGAGCGAAGAGAAATGGTAGGAGATGAGGACGAATACGAGACGCGAATGACACGAAATATATAATACATATATTATACAAATAAGAGATCGGTAGTCTCTGCGAAAAGAGACGAGGATCTTGGCGCAATTTTTGACTTGAAAATAATATGCATGTCTTTCTTTTCTTACATTAGTTTAAAGATTTTCTTTGAAAAAATAAGACGTAGAGCTGGCGCTATTAACGCGCGGAATAAAGGATAATAATCGTCTCTTCTTCGAAGAGTCAGTCTTGTCGAGGATCGTTAACGAGCTCCGGTACGATCTGGTCCTGAGAAGCGGATCTCCCCGAAGGGAAATAAGAGGAAGAGTATGTCGAAGAGGATAAAGATGGAAACGACGACGACGACGACGACGACGACGATGACGACGACGACAACGACGACGACGACAACGAGGACGATGAGGAAGATGACGTTGAATGCGAATGCGAGTGCGAGTGCAAAGGCGAAGGCGTAGGTGAAGGCGAAGGCGAAGAAAGACGAAGTGGTTTCGAGAGCCAAGGATGAAGCGGGACGTCCTCAGCATCCGGTCTTTCCGACGGTTCTTTTCTTAGCAAGGATCGAATGAGACACCTTGCGCGGGGACTGAGACATTCCGGCACAGCAAACTGCCCTCGTGAAATTTTTGCAAAGAGCGTAGCATGTTCCGCGTCGTTGAACGGATAACGCCCGACCAGCATCGTATAAAGAAGGACGCCAAGAGACCAAATATCTGCTGCCTTTCCGGAATAAGCTCTTCCCGATCTGAGAACTTCCGGTGCAACGTAGGCCGGGCAACCTCGACGATCGGTTAACTTGTCGTCCTCCTTATCCACGATCACCGCATCCTCCAAACTCTCCAATCGTAGTTGCGTTCTAAAAATCAAACAGAAAGATCTATCGTTATCACTTGATGGTATCTTCCGTAAGGAGTAATAAAAGAGCGAAATGAAGGAAAGGAATTGGAAAGGAGAGCGCTTTCGTCGACGTCGCGCAACGCGGAAGTCTCGAGGCGCAACAACGCGCCTACGTAATATTCTCTTTCTCTCCCTCTTTTGGCTCTGTTAGCTAATACAACGCAACCGTTGCTATTGCTATTTCTATCGGCCACGTTAGAAATATTTAGAGGAAAAGCGTCTATCTTCCGGATAAATTCGTGCACTAAAATGTGGTCTTTCGTGGTCTTTGACTTAGCCATTTTGCGCATCCTCTCTTCGAGCCATGTTGACGGTGTGCTTACGCAGGTAAATGAGCGCGATCGGCGTTACGCCAACCGTTTCAACGAATTATTTCTCTATTCCTTTCTACGACTTTCTCGAGGAAGAGAAGGGATCTCTTTCCTATTGTGACGAGTGGTGGTGATCTTGAAAAGAGCTCAATGGCCTCATCGGTTCTCGTCACCGAGTTGGCGGCATACGGGAAGAGGAGACCATAGAGAAACGGGATGGATGGCTTTCTTCGCTAAACTTTCACCGGCCAAGAGTTCAAGAACCCCACCGCCGTCTGGATGGTTCGCCGTGCGTGACTTTTTCCTTTTTTTTTTTTCTTCTTTCCTGACGTTGAAAGAGCGCAAACAAAGTTTGGTAAACCTAGTACAGAGACAAATGGAACACACATGGAACGGGGAGAGCTTGTACTCGGGTTTTAGGAGGTAAGGGACGACACGAGACGATGCGTAGCGGACGATTAAAGGCACACGTTTCTTAATTATACCTGCCAGTTTCAAAACTCTTCCAGTCGATGAACCAATATGCTTTTCTGCCTTGCAACATTCTCGGTCTCTGGTATACACACTCGGCAAAGGAGAGGAATGCGAGCGTGCAAGGGGCGATTGGCCAACAACGCATGCACGCCCGCCGTTCGCTCGAGATCGATTTATGCTCCGCTTCGATCATTCTTTCTCTCTTATTAACGGTATATAATTTACTTGAATAGATATTTTAATGGCCTCTGGATCGACAATCGACAATCGACAATTCGACGATCAGAGCTTGGTAGGAAAAGGCATAGAAAAGGAAAAAGCGTAATTCGACTCACTTGGCTTCGTCCGCAAAGACAAATTTTCGAAGTTTGAGATCCCTGAGGACGACGCCGTATTCGTGACACGTGGCAACGGCCTTGGCTGCTTGCCGGAAGAGTCGTCTCGCTTCAGGCTCGCGCAATCTCCTGCGTGCCCTAACGTAAGCGTGCAAATCACCATGATGACCCTCCAAAAGAAGATAACGTCGACCACCGCTACCTTCGACGATACCAGCGAGTCCGCTTGCCGCCTCCGTTCCCTCCAATCGAAGATGTGCTTGTAGCAACGCTTCGCATCCTTTGTCACCTTGACTCAGGGCCTGAAATTTCATTCGATTGGTTATACGTCGTCGGTTAAAGGTCGAATTATCCGTCATTTGTAGGCATCCCTTTCTTTAACAACCGTTCTTCTCGACCGTGTCGTAACTCAGCATGCTTTCGAAACGTTACCATAAGGGCGCGGCGAGCTTTTTACAAAATCATCGTTGACCCGATCGAACGACGCGTCCTTGCTCGTGAAAAATGGATCATTTCAATAAAAAGGAGAGAGAGAGAGAGAGAGAGAGAGAGAGAGTATCTTTGAGAAATGTGCAGCAATTGTGTACTTGAAAAAGAAGAAGAGAAAAAAGGGAAGCGGACAACCCATTTGCTTGCGAAATCGTGTCGCGTTGTCTTTCGAGACGACAACGACGACAACGACGACGACGTAATCGTCAATTAAATCAAACGGCCCTGGCTTTAGTAGCGATTACGAGCAACGGGTTAGGGTCCGTCGTCGGCAAGGTGCAGCCTTGTATTTGTTCGCGGATCGATGATGATGTAAGCGACTCATTGTATAACGTCGAGCGATTGTAAAATGTTAATGGAAACGCGGAGCAACCGTGGAGAGACCGCGAGGCTACGTAAGTGCGAAGCCTTCTCGAGCCTTCAAACCTTCCCCCTGCCCCCTTAACCCTCTCTCCAATACTCTTGCATGTAACGCGACGCGCGCTCCGTTTAGAATGCAATTTTGCCGTCTTTTATTTATATATATGCGTAACACCCTCGAGTTCGTTCAACTTTCAAACGTTACGTTCAGAATTTTCTTTCGCGTCTTTCATCAATATCTTTATGAGAAGATATAGCTTTTCAAACGATATTATGCTGCTTATAAACAGTGTCCTCCTTGATGTTTCGATCGACGAAATTTTCGCTTGCTATGGTAACTATTTGTTGCTATGTAAATGGAAGACTATGTCATTATTTCCGAACGATATGCACCGTTAAATTATTCACATTATTTTCCATAGAATGACTGTAATTCGATGAAATGTCGCAAAGGTAGAAACTCGAGGATAGGAGATGTTCTTCCACGACGTTTATTATTTGCAAGCTATCGATTAATGTCGTCTAGATGAAAGAGTTACTAAAGATAGAAATTGTACATATGTAGGACCGTTTGAGATCCGCTTTCCAGGAACGCAAAGAGCCGGTCAATGGCTCCTTCTCGCTCTCTCTTTCTTTCTCTCTTTCTCTCTCTCTCTCTCTCTCTCTCTCTCTCTCTCTCTCTTTCTCTCTCTCTCTCACTGTTGAGAGAGTCGCCAAGCGTTTCTACCGTAGGCCACGCGTCGTTACTTTCTAACCGTGAGAACCTAGCTCTCGTATCGCCGCCTGCTTCATGTTACTTTGGTTTCAAGTTTTTTCAGCAATAGGAAATAAAGAAAATAATAAGACAGAGCGTAAGCTCGAGGAAAAGAACCGCCGTTGATTCAACAAATGCGTATGCGATTAAAGAGTTAAAAGAAAAGTTATGCGTTGACCGACCTTGGCGACAAGCTGCTGATCGGTTTGGACGTCGACGCATCTGTAAAGTGCACTGCCTTCCGCCGGACCAAGAAGAACGAATCTATCCCCGAGAATGGTTGGTCCGTGATGCTCGACGTTCCGTGCCGTTGGCTCGCTACTCGAGAATCCGACGAGCGGAACGACCGCGCTCGTATTTTCCTCACTGTTCGTTGCCGCCGACTGTTGTCGTTGATGATGTTGCTGATACGGATGCTGCCTATAACGATGATGGTGATGATGATGATGATGTTGTTGATGACGGTGGTTATGATGGTGGTGATGGGATATTTGCGATTGTTGCTGCAGCTGTTGTTGTTGCGGCTGTTGCTGCTGCTGTTGCTGCTGCTGCTGTTGTTGTTGTTGCTGCTGCTGCTGCTGCTGTTGGACCTCCTGATTATTCGTATTAACCAGGAACTTTCCATTGTTGGAAATACGTGTCGTTTGTAGTGGATGTTGCCTCGTAGTCCCCACTCTCATATTGTTGGCTATCCCGTATTTAACGATTTATTTCCGCCACACAGTTATTTTGTTCTTCTTTCCTCTCGCTCGGTGAGAGATCCGTAGATTTTTGTCTTCGTTCTTCGCGTCTATGTATTGTCGTTTCGTTTATCAGATTAATCTTCTTGAACACACTTTAAACTCGTCGAACACCGAACGCGGAAGCATCAACTTTTCCGAGTTGGCACGGTGCACGACCGGTGCACGACCGTTATTGTTGTTGTACGGTATAGAAGAGTTTTTATCGAACGTTCACGCGTTTCTTAAACGACAACTAATATTAATACCGTTAAGCTCTAGTTTCTTCGAGGTACGTCGCGTAGATAATGTATGTACATTTATACATTTGTATACGTAAATATGCGTGCATGCGTGCACGTACATATACAAGTAATAGAAGATAGGAATACACATGTGTACGTATATCACTTGTGCTCGGACCCGCGCGGTTTTCGTTGCGGTGCCTTGCGTGTATGTATCCCGCCGCGGTTGGGTCCTTCCTTGGACGGATGGAGATAGATCTTCGTGAAGAGAGAACGAGTTGCTTATCTCGTCCGTAGTCGGTCGCTCTCTCGAAGGTAAGGCCTGTGGAATAAAAAGGGCATCCTTCGATCAGTCGCACGTTCGATCCATCGAGGACGCGTTTGCGTTTCCTAACTTTCGTGATTAACTAAAAGAGTCCTAAAACAGTCCTAATCGAAATCTAAATAAAAATGTACTTTTCATCATGGTTCCCGTTGTTCCTCGGCCGCGTTCTCTCTAGCCCGTCGTATGATTCACGGACAATTTGAAAAGCGATGCGATGCGGTTTCGACATTCGTCCTGCCGCCGTCTCTCGCGTTCTGCGCAATTCCTACCAACGGGAGGGGTCTCGTTAAGGTCAGGGATATCGCTTCTACGCGGTCGTTGCGCCCTCGGACAATTACCTTCATTTTTCTCAACTTTTCTTCCCGCGGGCCCTTAATATCTCCAGGATCAGGGCTTTCAGGAAATAACCGATCAAGCATGCGGCGCGTCACGGCTAATTTAGCTCGTTCGTCCATTTATTTTGACCAGAGCATCGTCGAATTTGCTGAGAAAGGAAGACCGCTTGAGGAAAGAGACGAACAAAGAATTGACTGCGATTTCCGGTAAATCGTTTATGCGACACGCTTACCATTCGTTTGTTTTTTTTTTCTTTAGATTATGCTCGCCAAAAGGAAAATGAAACTCGGTTCTCCTTCCTTCGTTCGAACGACGCCATTCGATTCTCACCAAGGTCAAGCGCAGGCGCGCGCGCGCGAGCGCGAACATGCAATTCGCTTCCGTTTGCGTACGCGGAATTCAAAAGAAAAATTCCAATTTATTTGTCTATTAATCTATGAACGGTGTTTTCTCGTTAAATCGCTAATGTAAGGTAAAATTGTATAGAACGACTGCGTTCTATATATGCGACGACAAGCAGGTTGCGATAGTCGCGCGTGCACTTGCGCAAAAGCAAAGTCGCTCCAGGGATCAGGGCCGTACAAACGTCTTGCCCCTTTTCGCGATAACACCACTCGCCGCCAACATCCTCTCCTCTCGATCTTATGAAACTCGCGAGCAAACTTTTTACGAAATACCTACTCTTCTTTTTCTTATTCCTCGAATCGATTACGTTTTCTGACCTTTCTTCTTATTACTTTTACATACTCCCTGGATATGTTGTAACGCTCGCATCGGACTAACAAGTAAACGGTACGAAGATGGAAACAATTGAGAAATAATGAATCGTAATCGCGAATGATATTGCAAATCAATACGATCTATTAACGAGTAAAAGACGCGTGCGGTCGTCTAATGTATAACCATAATTTCAATCCTTTAATTCATACTAATTATAAATGCACTTCATTATTTTTCTCACTCGCGTAAACACTCTCATCGGAGAAGATAAGTATTTACGTCGCGTGAAAATTATGAAATATTCCTTCCTTTCAATAGTATTTTCATTTTTTTGTCTTTTGCGGATGTGGTTTATTATCCTCGCAAAAAGAGACGGAGCTAGAGGAGGAGGAGGAGGAAGAGAGAGCGATTACGTGCAAAAACATCGACATATTTTTTCCTCTTGGCGAGCATCGGTTTTATCAATGATTTACGATCCATCTTTTTTCTTTCATTATTTCGAATTAACAAGGATAAATAAATAATAGCGATGAAAGAAGTTGCAAGAACGAGGCGTGGCGCATATACATAGATGCACGTAAAACCTACTCGCAATGCATTCCACCTGGCAAACATCGCGGAAAGTCGATCGCGGCGGCGGTGGCGGCAGCGGCGGTGGCGGCAGCGGCGGCGACGTTCGTAGCAGTTCTAACGTCCAAAGATGATGCAAGAATAAGAATGTTGAGAACGTCGAAGAGAATTTCAAACTATTCAATGCGTTCCATCAACGGGGCAACGATCGCGACTTTGTCTCCAATTTCCTGTCTACCCACCTATGGGATGATTCCCTTCGAATCGCGCATTATCAATTCCCTTACGTAACTGTCTTTGATACGTTAGAAAATATCGCTCGATATAAGTAAAGTAAAGTCCAATCTGAACGCATAATTGTTGATAATGAATTCTTCTACATGTTTCTTCCATATCTAGATAAATTTCAATGATATCGAATTTGGGATGCGAAAACCAATGAACCGACACGATTATTCTCGTCTATTTTTTGAAATTGAATCGTTTATAAGTAAAATCGCTAAATAGAAAGGTGAATGAGCATACATTTGAGCGAAATGAAATATAACTTCTTCCTCTTCTTCTTCTTCTTCTTTTAATTCAATCATCTCGACAACGGATAACAGCAGATATCCTTCGGTAAGGTCGTAATGGCGACTGAAAGAGAGAGAAATACGACCGTCATAGCTGTCACCACCGTCATAGCTGTGTCGCCGTCCCGATATCGCCAGCCTGGCACTCGCATTAATAGCGCGCGAACGCATGACGCAATCTCGCGAAAGAAATTGCCTAATACTCTCGATTGTCGAGAGGTCGAACTTTAAATTCTCCAATAGACGACCACTCTGTGTTTTTCCTTTTGAAAATATGTTTGTTCGATGATCTCGTAATTATATTAATATAAATTATCTAATCCTTTCCACACTTCTCGTATCAGCTATGGAAATGAGAGAGAGAGAGAGAGAGAGAGAGAGAGAGAGAGAGAGAGAGACGGGGGTTGGAGGGGGGGGGGCGACAGATCGTCGACCTTTCGAAGAAACGAATCCCGCGGTTTCCTTGAAAATGGAAACTCGATAAAAGTACGACGAATGTCCTCGTATTTTCAACGAAGGATATTCCCAACGTTCGTATTCTACGCTTTCATTTAGCGTCATCTCTTAATCTAACGTCTTTTAAGACATAACGAGCACGAATATTCTCCCGATGAATCACGCTCCAAGTGTCTCTCGCGTTCTCGAATTCGAATCCTCGTGGCGCATGCGTTTACTTTTTCGAATGACCGAGGAAAGAGGATCGACTACTGCATCCAACTATGTCCGAAGACGTGACCGAGTTGTTTACGTCAACGATTGCCAACTAGTTCCCTTTCGGTCGCGAATAATACTCTTACCGGTCATCCTATTATTTGTCTTTGCATGTGACTCGTGAATTTAGGTCGACGGGTTCTCAAGATATACGCTTTTATTTTATTTTTCGATTGATATTTTCCTATTTGCGGAAAGATGAAGAGAGAAAAGTTGGATTTGGAATTTGTTTCGCGAGTCACTCTACAAAATGACTCTGACAATTACGTTAATTGCCGTATAAATATGAGTCTATAGAAACGAGAGAAGAGTTTTACTATGTAAGCATTGCCATTCATTACGTCACGAAGAAACTGTAAACGAGTAAGCAATGCAACGCCAGTGAATCCCAGCGTTGATTGACCGAGAAAGGAAAAAACCGGATCGTTTTCTCTTTCCTTCCTTCCTTCCTTCCTTTCTTTTTGTTTACTCTTTTCCTGCCTTGGAAACATTTGTATTAATGTTAATAATTAATTGATGATAAAATTGGCTACTTCATTTTTCCCCCTTAATTCGTAATCTTGTTGTATAAACGAAAGAAGGAAAGAAGAAAGGCTCTCGGGCAAATTTATTTTAGCTAAAGACCATTGGCGCAACCATTGGCGCAACCATTGGGGCAACCATTGGGACAACTATTGGGGCAACCATTGGCGGCCATTAAAGTTCGACGAAACACAACAAAGAGCGTCCTCTGTGTCGCCCGCGCGTTTTCACTCCTATTAATCGAGATATTTTTGAGAAACGCATCTCGCGCATGATCCAAACGAGAACGAATGAAATTTAATCGACGAGGAGAACTTTGACGAAGGAGGGAAAGAGAGAGAAGGAAGAGCTCGTAAACGTAAATAGATGGAAGAATACGAAGGTCGGACATCGATCCGGTAATCACTGCACTTTGCACCGAACTCGCGCACACGGGCACGATAATCCTTCCGTCTCTTTCATCCACCTCAAAGAGAATCATGGTCGAAGAAGAAATGAGATATAAAACCAATAATGGAGGGTAGGAAAGACGATACTATCGATTAGAAGATTTACCTTCGAAATTCTTTTCGTTTAGTCGCCGTACGTTCCTGAACGGAGAATACGGAGAGTCCTCGGATTAATTTCCTCCCAAAAGACGTTGGCGATGTATTAAACCGTCTGGTAGAAGTGATGATGTTGATGATGGTTGTAGTGGTGGTAGTAGGGAATCGATCGGTAAAAGAGAAACACTGAAGAGGGAGGGAGGGAGAGAGAGAGAGAGAGAGAGAGAGAGGAGAATTACGAAGAGAAATGGCGAAAACTCGTTTCTCGCCGATGTTAGCGTCGATTCCACTTGTTCTTCTTCTTCTTCTTCTTGAGTTGCTCTCGATGACAATGACAGTAATAATGAGGTACCCGGAAAATGAATAAAAAAAAATGGAGAGGTGTTAGGGCCGTGGATAACGTGAAAGTATCGCGTACCACGGAGACGGTCCAACGCTTTGGGCCGACTCACCGCTCAGAAACGACGGCGGCAAAAAGAAAAGAAAAAACCAATGTCGACTGATCGCGCCATCGTGCACCCAACGACTGCGCTAAGCGGCTAGTTCAAACCACCTTCGGCGCGCCCTCCCTTTCCCTTTAACTACTGTCTCGAATACGCATGCGCTTTAAATGTATCCCCGAGTGCTCATGCGCGCCTTTTCCTACCTCACTCCCGGCGCCTTATTTTATTTCTCCCCGCGTCTAAACTATTTTCTTATTATTTATATTCGGCAATTGATTGATCGATTGATTCATTCATTCATTTGTTCATCGGAAATATTAAATAGACATTTTATAAATCTAACCTTTGCGTGACTTTTTTCAAACTCGTTCGACGTAAAAAGAAAGTGTCTTTATTTTCCTCGAGACAAGGATCCCTTTAATTTCATTGTCCAGACACTTTCTACTTTTTCAGATCCCGCTGTTATCCCTTACATTACTGACACTTTCTTTGCTCGTTGCACAATAGGAAATAGTAAGAATATAACGCGACACGGAAACTCAGACAGAGATCGTTCCGACCTTCTCAGGATCCGACTGACAGATGTGTCTATCAATTTGCCTTCGAATATAATTCCAAATGAAGTATATCGATAGGATGAGAAAAGGACACAACCTTCGTATTTATATTCGTCACGAAATTTCCAGGCAGACTGACAACGGGTACGCTGTCGAATCCTTATCGACTATTAAATGATTAATGGAATTCTGACTAACGATGAGACCAACGAATGCGAGTAGTATTACAAAAGAATTTCAAAGCATTGCTCGTAATTGCTCAAAATTGCGAGATTTGCTCGAACGCTGTATAATATTTGCTTATCGTTCTAAAAATGAAAACAGAAGATAATCGCTTCCGATCTGCACTTCTTCCAAAAATTATTTAAGCAGGTGATTACAAAAACGCACCGTGTTAATCAAGATAAGACAAAATAAACGATAAGGTCAATTTTTGTTAACTTATAAACATCGTAATTGGTGGGTTATTTTGTTCGTATATAAGAAGGGTCTAGAAGATTCGAGTGACGTCCCTGCTGGTAATACACGTACGTGGTCGGTTGACACGCGGCACGTCATAAATGCGGGGAAATTGAAATGGTTTAACAATAAGAAATGATTCCCGAGGACACGCCATTTCAATAAAAATATCGATTCGTTCATTTCCTTGTAAACATAATTACACAAGGGGGATTTTTCGAAAATATTTGTCAGTATATTCTCTTTCGTACGTTTGATCGTATTTGGAAGCGGTCCCTGGCTAAATTGGTCGGAGACAGAGAAAATAAAAAAAAAGGGGAGAATCGTCGGCCGCCCTTGGCCTACCTTAACGTTCCTCAAAAAGCGCGGGATGCATAAGCTACAACATGCGGATACTTGGCGATTGCGCGAACAAAACGTAGACTTACGATTAGAAGAATTCTCTTGTAAATTTGTCAAATAATTTTGCATGACAATGAAGCACCTGTTTGAAAAATGAACGATGAGTCAAGTAACGCCAGTCATTTATGCGAGTGAAACCACGATGGTGAGAAGGTAAACTGCTCTCGTAAATAATTTGACGCTTCGCAAGAGCTATTATCTTGACAAGAGACCGTCATTGTCTTCTTTCGGTGTCATCGCGATCCTCTTCGATTCCGCGAGTGGAAAGATAAAATAATTTAACGCCAATGGAAGGTACGATACGCGAAGACGAGAGTTGTACACGTACACATGCAAGAACATATATATGTAGAAAGGCACGAACTACGACGACAACTACGACGACGACGCGTGTCCAAAGAGATAGGGTCGCGATTGCGTGGCATTCGAGCACCGGATCGTGCCAATCGAAAAAGAGAGAGAGAGAGAGAGAGAGAGAGAGAGAGAAACGAGAACCAGGCCTTCGAATTTCCAAACTTGTTCGTCGTTGCTCTTGCCGGATATTGGTCAACTTCTGCCACTTTTTTTTCTTTCTTTTAGCGCAGCTGTATGCGCGTGGGTGTCCACCGATGAGTAGACGCAACCCAGACAACACCCAAGAAACTCTAACGATGCGATTTTTCTCGACTCGTCAAAGAGTCGAGAAAAATAACCAGTGCTCGACCTTGTCCGATAAATATTCAAGAGGAAACTTTATTTCGCGAGGATAAAAAGTATTCAAGGATGCGGAGATTACGGCATTAACGTTTGCAACATAAAGACCGTATCCGTTCTACATTTAAGAGCGCCTCCTTCTTAACCATTCTTTCACGCGCGTTAACGATTCCGTTGTTATTTACTTCTTAGAAATTCGTCTTTTTTTCCAAGCAATGGTACGAAGCCCCATTTGAATGAATTGATCATTTTTTAGTGTTACAATTCAAAAATCGTAGTTTCTTCGTAGTCTCGGAACGAATTGTTAACACCGATAAGAGAAAATAACTGCGAAGAACGCTTCTCGGGAAAAGTTCTCTCCTAGAGAGAATATCTTTCATTTTGATAAGACGTTTTATACCATATTAATAACTGTATTTGATTTAGAATTCAGTTGTTTGAATCTTTCTTGGCGACAAGAAAAAAAAAAAAAAAGAAAAAAGAAAAAAAATATATAACAACGACGATAATGTATCTTAAAATTAAAATTAGCGCACACGAAGGACGCGTCCATGTCAATTGATATCGAAGCTCGTACGTACGTATACGCATAGATTATAGGAGTTTGTCTGCGAGTTCCTCTTGGTGCAACGAGTCGAGACTGTTGCTACATACGAGACAATATGTCGCGCAGGTTATCAACGAACGTGTCCGGAACCAAAAATATTCGATTTATCTCGCGTCGCGCCAAGGAGATAATACGTCCTTTCCCCTGAAATATCGTCGCCATCGTCATCGAAACGGGGAAAAGAAAGTTTAATGTCTTTATTTACTTCCGCCATAATAGATTCGTTAAAAATCATTCCTAGAAATAGAAAAATATTGAAGTCGCGATAAGACGCTATCGAGAAATTTCGCGAGTCGAGGGGGAAATTTGTTCCAACAAGTGCGTTACATCATTTCTTCGGTTTATTTCGTAAACACCCTGGAAATAGTCAACAACGAATGATGATTATATTCGGAGAAGGAAAACTGCTGCCAAAATTGAAGGAAGATTCAAGAAATTAAAGACCTACGATGGACAAATCGATTAGATCATTTAGATCGATAGATGAAAAATAATCAAAGCGTTAACAGCTGTTAATCGATATTACTATCGATGGATTGCACGTGTATTCGCTTGAAATCGAAGAGCGTACGTGACGCAGGTCATGCCTACTTCACAGATCTGAAGAAATGAGAAAATAATTCTAAATTGTTCTTATCTCATTTATGTATTAGCTTGTTCCATAAGTTCCTTCCTTTTTGTTTGACAATAGACAAGCCTGCATGTCTACAAAGATAGAAAGAACTCATGGGACAACCTAATATATGCGGGAGAGAGAAACTTTCGATCGAATAAATGATTATTCGAATTACTCGTCGAAAGACACGATGGAAAAAAAATGAGGAGAATTCTTTCGACCACAGCTTTGTGAATGACTCGTTCATTGATTCGGCGGCCATTGATTCGACGGCCATTGCGAAAAGTCGTAACTTTCAAGGATTACGCGTACTCACTTTGATCGGCAAGGTCTTAACACGGTTTCAAAGATATTTCCATAACTTAGAACGTTGACAGATCTTCTTTCGGAACGGATAATTCGAGACTGAACGTTTTCGGGCGACGATACGTGTATATTTATTATTGTAATCGTGGACAACTTACGAAACTGTCTGATGTAATATCGCTATGATAACGTTACACCAGGGGAGAACAGAGTAGACGAATGAAATTCGTTTCCTTTCATACGTGCAGAATGGCATGGAGATAGTTTTTATAATAAAACGTGTCTACGATAACGCGAGGATACTTTTAACGAAGCGTATATTTCCTGTAGTAATAGTTGATAATATTTCGCGCAATGAATATATATATATATATATATATATATATATATATATATATATATAGTTATATTAGAAAGAATAAATCAATAAGGTGGACCCTAGTTTTGTACTACCTTATATAGCGTTACGTTTTTTACATACTACGTTGCGATATTTCACATAATTTTCTACGAAGTAATCATCTTAACAGACCAATTGTTTAAACTATATTGAGGAACTCGCGAAGGAAGTTCGACAAGGCGAACGTCATTTTTCAAACGGTCGATGAATCGTCGCCGCGTTTGATACGGTCACGTTTCCTCGATTTCCCTTGGTTTATGGGCTCTCCATTTGTTATGGACAAAGAAATATATCGCCTAAATCGCAGGAACGACTTCCTGCTTCCGTTTGATTTCGAACAAGAAGCAAACGTTAAGTCTATATTAGGTGACAAGAATGGCGATTAGTAAACGGAACCGAAGAAATACGAGTGCCTCTCGTAGAAACTGTTATCTGCCCTCGATATAGACTACCTGTGTCCAAGTAGACACGAGGAAACATAAAAACGGAAGTTCCTTGTCGCAAATGCATACTTTGTTTCCGTTCTACAATACAAACAAAGTATAATATTATAACCCCATAAATGCAGTGTTCCTGTTCTATGTCCCTTTGTAAACTTTGACAAATGAAATCCATTAATACAATATGTAGACGTATGAGATCCAAATTTGAAATGGCCTTCTTTACAGACTACTATTCCCCCATTATCGATATTGACACTCGATATCGGACTTTTTTCTCGAGTGTTCTATCAGACCAACTATTGACACATTTATTTTGCGTTGAAAATAAATAAGTTTTGCTACGTATATTGTTCTTTAATAGTATGTTATACGCGCAGCGAATCGATTGGAAAAAAGTGGACCAACCGGTGATAAGTCGACCTCGTTCCAATATTTCGATCCATCTTTTATTTGTTAAGGATAAGAATGATAAATGTTTGTCGTTTATCATCAATTATTCCATCCATTAGAATCTGTCTGTTTGACGATTCGTATGATTCGAAATTAAGAGGAAAGTAAGTAGGGCATAAATAATTATTCGTGAAGAAAGGTAAAATGGAAGAGGGACGTCTTGCTTGTACACTCAA